TCCCCGAGGTCCTTTGACCCAGTACTAAAGCCATTATCTCTAGAGCCAATGAATCTCCCTGATTCTGTGCCAGAATTCAGCTTTCTTGCCTGAGCATCCTCAGAATACAGTCCCTTGGGTTCTCCCCAGTCACCCCGAGCCAATGTGCTAGCTACATCCTTCAGTTCCTTTGGGAGTATGGTCTCTTCCTCTCTTGCCAGACCAGCACATCTCTGGCTGAGTTATACTACAACCGGAGCCTGAGTCTAGGTCTTCCAATCAGGAGAGGAGATAGGAGCAGCTTTCGAGCCAGGTTAATTTGCTGCCCTGTGGGGAAAATCCCTTTGTATTATATTTGTGCACAGGAAGAAATTTTATGTGCTAGTGAAGTGGAATGGGGTATATCTCAGGGCCCAGTAGAGTGGGGGTGCATCTGAGGACCCAGAAGTTTTGAGAAATCAAAGGGAGTCAACATCTTTGGGGACATCTCTCCATTTCACACATATCTCCCAACTTAATGGTGGTGATGCTTTCTGAGAAAGATATTGCTGGCAATTTTGTTATTATGCAGATGCCTTAGAGTTCTAACACCAACTAAGACTGCAATATAACTTAGCAATGTAATCTTGTGCAACCACTGTTGTACATGTCGTTTGTTGTAGACAGAAATATTATCATGTGGCACATGACAGTATATATAAAGATATTTATATTTAATTTTACATATTCACATAGAATATGCATATATATGTACATATAATGAATCATACAATTTGCACATGTGAGCACATAATTGCCACACAGACCCTGATGCTATATAGTAGATATAGTAGAGCTGCTTGATGTGAGCACCTAACAGAATCTTGTCACTCAACAGGAGTGTCTGGAGCAAAACCCTTCCCAACAGGACATCTTGTGTCATTCCATGGTGGCTCCAATCAACCATCTCTTTCACAGAAAGGGTGTAAGAAACCTGAAGCACAAAACAGAAACATTCAGTGCATAACAACTGATCTATTTGCTTTCAGGGAAATTCATTTCTGCTTGTTTCTTTCCCTAGTGTCTTTTCTGCCAATCAAGAAGCAATGTCAATCTACGCCATGTTTATAAAGCATGGATATATTAGGTAACTGGCACCAAACCACCCCAACTTCATCCATCCTCAAGTGTAACTCCTGGCAGGAATCTTTACACAGCACCTCACGCCTTCAGCCAAATGCACCTTGCCATGAATAGAAGTTTTTGTTATTCATCCATCTGTGGCCACTGAGTTTGCAACCAGAGCATGTCCCACCGACCCAGCTTCCAGCCCAGCAAGGGGTCCGCCAGATCAGCCTCTTATCAAGCACCTGGTTCTCACTGGTTGCCAGAGTCCCAAAGGCATTTTTAATTCATTTATGCTGCCATCTTGTAAATCTGGTATAGTGGGAAATTACCAATACGGAGCCAAGTAGAAATATAAGGGTATTTAATAGGGAGAAGCCTTACTTACAGAGCCACCTAGCCAGCCGGAGCGGCAGCAGTCTGTATGCAAGCCAATGGGTGAAAACTGAAAGCGAAACTCAGCCAAATGAAACTCTTACTCTACATCACCCTGACCATGCCCTCAGAGGCGTGGTCAGGCAGACCTGTAGCCAGCCCCTAAGCAGGCATGGCTACAGGTTCCCCTACAATTCCCCTTTTAGTCTAAAAGAGGATTAAAACTTAACAGTGTAAAGTATCCAAAATTAACAATCATAAAGGTGAAATATAAGAAGATACACCAATCTGCTTATGTCATATCCTATCTATTTTAACTAAACCCTAAAGTCATCTGAAAGAGGTGTCCAAGCCTGAACACCTCCTTCCAATCCCAACGTTCCCCTACAATCTGGTCCTGCCCAGATGGCCTCCATCCCAGCAGCAGTCCCGCCTCAAGAAGGATAAAGAATTTAATATGGGTCAAAAGGCCGAGATAGAAATATCCTTGAGTGCATGAAAAGGGGAAACTGAAGCAATTAGTATCTGCCACCAGCAGGGTTTTTCAGATCCTGTTTTGCCTCTAGATATTCAGGTCTGATGAGACTGGACTAAAAGCCTAATCAGGACCAGACAAAGGCTATGCTGCTCACTTGGACTTGAATTTAATTCTATTTTATACAGGCATCAAACACCTATGTCTTCTGTTACATAAATATGTGCCATTCGGAAGAAAGGAGTCATTCGACATCTGTAAGTGGGTCTATGGGGAGAATTCACATTACCAGGGAAAGAATCATTGCATTGTGCAATGCCTACACAATTATCACAGGGTTTTGGCAAAAGATGGGGGGAACTTATGGTAAAAACCTGGTTCTCCTAACACCCTTGTCCTTTTAGCACAACATATGCAAAGCTAGGATTGTTTTGATTCATTTTATTTCTGGTACAGGCAACATTTCAGTGTCTGGCCAGAGGAAGATTTGGAGGAATTTGAAATTCCCATTGATTTCATTTATGAGGACCTTTCCTGCTGCTTCCAAATTACATCGTTCTTTTAAAAAAAAATGAATTCCAATTTGAGTATTTTAATTTTGGTGGTAGCAACAGCTATTTTTCAATCTCCACGTGTTTTAAATTTTTCTTTGAGATTTTTGGACATAAAGATTATATGTATATAACTTTTATCCCTTCTTCCTTCCCTTAAACTCCCCCTCCCTAATTCATGATCTCTTAATTATTATTGTTACATAGACATGCATGTATATGCACAAATACAATTATATACACAACTACTAAGTCCATTTAGTGTTGCTTGTATGTGTATTTGTCCAGAGTTAATCACTCTGGATTGGACTTGGTTTATGTTCACTGGCAAGCATCAACTGAACACAGTCTTCCTTTGTTTGAACTGCCTTCCAAAGTCCTTCCTGGACATTTTCATCAGGAGAAGAGTGTACCCCACTACCTGTGAAGACCCTCAGGGGTATCAGTGGAAGTGTCATAGGCATAGTTTCCCTTTCTTCACAGTGGGAAGTGCCACTGTGCATCTGTGTGTGAATCAAAGAAAGAACAAGGAATAAAAACCTTTTGCCTGGGAAGTACCACTGTGCATCTGTGTGTGAATCAAAGAAAGAACAAGGAATAAAAACCTAGGCACATTTGGGAAAGTTTCTTTAAACATGTTATATATACCTGTGTGGAGGGGGGATGGGGGTGAACAGAGTAGAGCCTCTATGTGAACAGAAAAGAAAGGAAGGAAGAAAGAAAGAAGAAAGTGAGAGAGGGGGGAGGAAAGAATGAAAGGAAGGAAAGAAGGAAAGAGAGAGAGAGAGAGAGAGAGAGAGAGAGATGGGGGAGGAAAGAATGAAAGGAAGGAAGGAAAGAAGGAAAGAGAGAGAGAGAGAGAGAGAGAGAGAGAGATTCAGTAGAAAACCAACTTCATTTAAATGTCCAAGGAGCGCTTTGTTGGGTTTTCTCCCATGCTGGTGGATGCTAATTCTGTAATGCTAGACCCTCGCCTTCTTTTGGGTACAAAGAGAGAAAGGGAGGGTTTCCTTTGTGTTTTTCAGTGCAAAGTGATTCTGATCAGAGAGAACCAAGGCTTCAGCTCCAAGTACCTGACATTTCCATCTGAATCCACTATTTTTTTTTTCTTTTTAAAGGTGGGGGAGGTCTAGTTTTTCAGGAAAAGAGCCTCTCTACGAAATCCTGAAACCGATCTGCAGATTTACTTTTCCTTAATCAATAGAAAGCAACTTGATTGCAACTCAACACTCCCCGACTCTAGTGCAGAACTAACTGAATTTTTGGTTTTAAGAGTTCAGGATTCGGACGTCATTTCAGGAATCAGAAATAATTGGCAGAGAGGTGAGGAGAACTGACGTGAATTCTTGTACCTAATTTTCTGGGCTCACCAAGATTTGGTTTAATATTTTTCACTCATTTCCTCCAGCTTCGACAGAACAGGTTAGTGGCATTTTTCATAAATACAAATGTCTAAATGAATCCTCTCTGCTGCTGTCCTCCCTGTTCTCCCAAGGCCTCCATCCTGAAGCTTGCACTGCCTCTGCTAGAGCTCTGTGTGAAATCTGCTGAGGTCCTCTGCCATTTGCAACAAAACCGGCTGGAGTTTACTATGTGCTTGAGACATCAATGTGCATGCCTGAAAACTGGAGATTGCCATAGGACTTTCACAGTATCAAGTCATTGCTTTTTCCTAAAAGTTTGGCTTAAAAAAAAATTGATAACCTCAAATGATAAGAGCGGGGTGTTTATCTTTAAGAACGACAGCAGGTTTCCTGGTCTGCACTTTGGTTCTCAAGCAGGTGGGTGTTGAACTTGGAGCTTGAGTGTGTGCTTGCATCTCAGCTGTTTTGGAGCAGCGCAGACCATCCACGTTCCTGACAGAGGGTAAAGCCACCCGATCAACTGATTGTAAATTAACATGCAAATGAGTTCAGTTTTTGTGATGTTCCTTCTTTTAATTAACTTCCTGGAACTAACTAACGAGTTGCTCTCGTGCCGGGTTCTATTTCTGTTGTATTTCCACCAGCCACTCTGGTGTGCTGCTTTTTAAACACCAAAGTAGCCATCGATTTCACTATGGAATGTCGGTGGACAATCATAGGCCACTTGTGAGTCTGGTTAGTAAGATGATGGGTTGGCTGCATGTCATTGAGAAGAGGATGACACACTCCCAATCCTCCTACCTGGAAAAACATGTGGCATTTTTAAACAGCATTTCTTTGATCCTGATGGAGAAAGTCCTGTGAATATTAGACAGTTGGGTCTTACCTACAGAGGCTAGCATTCCAGAGACACAGTCTGGGACTTGTGTTTTTGGAGTTGGGTGCCATTATTTTGAAATCAGATATAGAGTAGACACCTTCCCCTTGATCCTTGCAGCTTGCATTACTCCCATCTAACTCCCTGACCACTACACTTCTAGGCAGCCTTCTTCTGGGGATCTACTTTGTTCCCCAAGTGTCGAACTCAGGAGGATCCAGCAAGCCTTCTGGGAATTACAACCGACTCTGAAGGATTGATGTAGTGATGTGAATTTGTTCTGTGATGGTTGTGGTGTGTCTTGGAATTTGCTACCAAACACACCTGGTGTTCTATTTACTCTGGCAAGCAGGGGATTTTTTTTTCCTTTTTCTTTTTAAAATTCCAGGATGAATTATTCATCATTACTTAGAATTTGGGTCTCTTTCATCTTCGCACTTGTACAGCACCAAGGTGAGTACGACAGAATCTCATAAAGCTCTTGATCAGCATGCTCTTGAATTTATAAAGAGACACTTTTGTTGGCACTGTAATTGCAAGGGCAGGTGTACATGTGTCTGCAGATACCACAAGAAAAAAAAGTAAATTAAATTCTGTTGTCAAGGGTAAAATGCATTAACTTTGAAGGATGCTCACTTGTTCTTATTTAACTTCGAACACAATTTGTATATGCCAATAAAGGTTTATAAAATAATACAGACTAATTCTAGTTAAGTACATGCAGGAGTTGAGGCTATCCGCACCCTCCCTCATCATTGATCTCATTTAGCCATTTAGCTTTTTGTCAGAGACTTTAACGAGTGTTATTATTAAACTCCAAGTTAGGAAGTTGTGGCAGTAGCTTTGGTGTTGGTGACCTGTTTCTCAGGGACCTCTGACATTGGCCAGCAATGTAAAACTGTGAATGAAATAAGCTAATTAACTCCCTCAATGCTCATGATACCTTCTTTTCTCTGTCTCTGTCTTAAGTTAGTGAAGGGCCATGTGTATGTCTTCCTCCTACTGTTGTTCATGGGTTTTGAGATTAGAAAGATAAGACAATCCATGTACAACTTGTTCCTTTAGGAATTACGTTCCAGAAACCTTTATTTCACATGTTCATGTGTTTAGTTCATCTGCCAAATGGTTCCAGGTCTCAGATGGACCTTTTCTTTAAGATCATGCCCATTGTCCTAAAATTGTGTGAATTAATAGTTGTAGCATGTAACCCAAAGTAACAATAGAGTGATTTCCCTACAATAATCCCAGTGACTCCATCTTCTACCTCTGCTCCAAGGAAGAGCATTTTTCTTTGGTGAAAAAGAGAAATCCTGGAAATACAACTATACTTATTGTGTAATTCCCAGTTTAGAGAAAGCATGAGTAGGGATAGTGTTTCTGAGGCTAACTCTGACACTATCCATAGACCATGCTGCCAAATGTCCTGTTTTCAATGGTAATAGGTTCTGAGATGGAAATCACTGTTGTTTACTTCTGTCCCCTTTTGTTGAGTGCCCTGTTTTATTCAATAAATCTTTATTGAGATTGTACAATATTAGATGTACTGATCTGTAATGTTCTTAAGACGGAAAACTTTTAACTGTCTGATATTTCTGTTCAAAATCACAAATTAAGTGAAAAATCTTGTAACAGACACAGAGGTTAGGGCAGTATCCATTGTCAATGTTTTCTGTGTCCTTAAAAGGGGCTTTTGATCTTCCCTTCTCCAGACAGACTGGCAAAATACTACTGTACAAAATAACAATTAAACCTTTGCAAGCAAAGAACTACTATGCCATGTGAAATGGAGCTCTTTTCCACATTGGGCATGACTCCCAAAAAAACTCCCCAAGAAGGACAAACCTGTAGTTTGACTCTATATATGCTTGTAATTCAAGGCAGTCTATCACCTTCAAATTTAATAAATAATTATGTGTAATGCCATAGTAAGAATTGCAAACAAATTTTTGAAGTTTTGCCTCCTAGAAATTTGTGCTTTGTTACCATAATGTAAATAAGAATAGTCAAAGGGCCTTTCTAAATACTGATGGTGGCATCAAATACAGATCAGGCTGAAAGCTCCTGAGATTCAATCAGCCAAAGCATCTCCTACAGGTTAGGATTTGGTCAGTTTCCCAGAAACTTCTGAGCTATGTGGCACAATGTGTGAATACTAGTGATTGCACTAGTTCCCTGCTTTCCTGATGTTGTCCTCCAGAAAGAAAGTGAACCTGTGTCCAGGTGGACCTGCACCAACTCCCCACTCCAGAGCTAAGGAGATGGCACTTTGCCTGGCCCTCCAGGCTGGTGTCTGTCTGCTCTGCAAGCTCTTCTCAGGGGCTGTTGTCTGCTCCCTAAAAGGCTCCCCCAAGGGGAAAAGCTGGCAAGGGCCAGTTGTCCTCCCTCCTATCAGCTCCATCAGTGCAAAACAGGGACTTTCCCGGAGAGAGGGGGACATGAGTCTGGGTGTCAGCTTCTGGACAGAGGAGTTTGAGAACTGTGGCCACAGCCCAGCTTGGATCAGCTGCCCCCACTCCCACCCCCAGAAAACTACAAATTAACTTTTAAGGGAAGAAAAATGTTCTTTTGCCAACTTTCATTCAAAAGAAGAAAGAACAGTGGCAGAGAAGAGTGACACCAGACATGACATATTGATTATTTCAGAGGTGCAGTTATACCAGGTCGTTGGTAGCATAGGCCCTGGGGATACTGTTTTATTTTCCCCGCCAGTCTGGACCTGTGCCTTGCAAGAGTTTGCATGGAAAACTCAAGAGTTTTCATATCCAGGAAGGAAGTGTTGCTGTCGCAGAAGGTATCTGTATAACCCCCTCACCTTTGACTAAAAGGACCAAGAAGAACATTGTGTCTGCCCTACAGAGTACTTCAGCACTCCGTGCCCCCCAACTGCCTCACACACACACACATGCACCCATGCACACACATCCCTCCCTCTGCTGGATGATCCCATGTCTGCTTTTTGTGACTAGGGCTAGGCAGAGGGCCTTGGGCTGGTCTCAGTCAAGGTCACCTACAGGCAGTTACTACCAACCCCAGTATTATTCCTCTTGGGCTCTGATTCCTTCTGCTGTGTGGCAGGAAAGACAGGAGTCTTAGGAAAAGCTGTTTCCACCCTCCTAGTAAATAGTAGACGTCTTAGCTTAGAAGGGTGCTGTGGTTACATCCACCTTCTCGACATCTGGTCGTCTACTCAAGAGGCAAGTCCTCCTCAGCCATGCCGGATCTAAAGGCCATCTCCACACACTGAGAACTCCAGATATCCATGGTGGTATGACTGTACACCTTCCCACTCATTGCCACCACTGGTCTCCAATGCATGGGCACATAGGAATAAAACACATAGGCAGAGCCCATGTACTTTTTGTTCTCTCCTTTCCCAGAGACAGAAGATAATCGACTAGGTGTAGCATAGACCCAGGGTAGAAAGGCCATCTGCCTTGCCTCTGGTTTATAAACCATACTCAGACAAGCTGACCTTAATGGGTGGGATGAGGGGGGAAGTAACTTTCCAAATGGAAGAGGCAGCTGCCATCTAATCTATCTATCCACCATCTCTCTTGACAGCCCAGCCCAGGGAGCTCATGTATCCATTTTGGCAGAATGACACCAAAACCCCTAAAGTAGACGATGGGAGCTCATCTGAGATTAAGTTGGCCATCCCTGTTTTCTTCTTTGGTGTTCCTTACCGCACCGTCTATGTAAGTGTAACAGCAGCTTGGAGCTGCGCTCCCTTTGTCATTAAGGAACACATTTGAAATGTCCCTTCCAGGGCTCTAGGATAGACGATTTATTGGCGGCCAAAACAACAAGTTCTGAGATTTCATGAGCTGATGGGTTTTATTATTAAGAAAGTCAAAGGTATATTTAATGGCTAATGTTCATAGTGGAGGAGTATACAGGGCAATAAATTGCCTTTGTGGGTGATTAAACACAGAAGTGAAGCAGAGGCCCCAATGCCGTGCACATTATTTCTGCTACTCAACAAGATAAAAAAGATACAATGAACCACAATAGGAGCAATATCATTTTTTTGCTCCCTTCTGGGGGTGTGAAAAGTTTAGGCATCTGCTCTTCTTGGGCTTCCGACCAATTTGAAGCTGAGCTGGAGCGAGAGAGATGGCTAATCAATGATTGCATAAAAGTTGTTTGCAGAATTGGCCACCCTTCTTAGGTCTGTAACTATGCCAGAGGGTGCCATTGTCAAGCCTGTACCATTGTTGAGCCTGTGCTGGGAAGTCCTTCCATGGCTGTCAGAGCTCTCCCGGGCAACGGCATTCTCAGGTTGTGTAGTTTGGATGGTTGAAGTTGCTGCTGCCAGAGAGACTGTCGTTTGGAGCAGCTGAGCCCGCCATGGTTGAGCCTATGCTGGGAAGTCCTTCCATGGCTGTCAGAGCTCTCCCGGGCACCGGCATTCTCAGGTTGTGTAGTTTGGAAGGTTGAAGTTGCTGCTGCCAGAGAGACTGTCGTTTGGAGCAGCTGAGCCCGTCTTCATCTCTGCCCTCATGGACCAAGGGAGACACAGGCAGATTCTCACCCCAGGTCTGTGCTCTACCCTGGAGGAATAAACAAATGAAATTTGGAACATTTATTTCCACATCTGCCCTGAGACTGCTACTTTGGCAGTTTCTGACATACAGCTAGAAAATCACCACACACACACACACACACACACACACACACACACACACACACACACACACACACACACACACCACCCACTACTAACAAAGGGCTCCTGAAACACCAGAGCATCACCTGCCATGTCATCTTCTACTACAGCTGACTCAGAAACCCAGGGTCGTGGGGAGTCTACTAATCTACCTTAATGAGCTCTCCAGGTGATCCTGGTGCCCACAAAAGCCTGAGAGCCACTGCTCTCAACCATAGAATACAATCAAAACACATGTGAGGCTCCGCCAGTCTCCTCCGCAGGTGAGCCTGTGTTTTTTAATTACACTGGTTTCCCCCTAGCAAATACGTGGCTCTGGCATCCTAATGTGTTTTTAAGCTCTCCTCACACTGGGTGGGGGAGGGGGGAGCTCCCTGGTCTGTGTCTGAGGGAGCTGACTGTGGGTTTTGAAGTGTGCTAACCTGCCTTTGTAAATGAGAGGCCTTCCATTCTGGGGGTCTTGGCCTCCCAGGCCCCTACAGTGTGTGTGTTTCATTTAGTTTCTCTTTCTCTTCCGTTGCACAGGGCTTAAAGGTTCATGACCTTGCGGAAGGACAAACCATAGTTCAGGGCAGGATCATTTGAGGATAAACTATACCAATTTCCCAGTGCTTTGAATATGCAGTCTTTCAATCATTCAAAGGCCTCTAGGTGACTCTTTGTCCCTGAAGACAACAGGTTTCCAACATCCCCCTACTCTGGCCATCTCACACCCTAAACCTCACAGAATTTCTTCCAGTGCATGTTGAGGTACCCTCAGTCCAGCTGCAAAGCCCTTCCCTGAGGGACTAGGGTCACTGTTAATGTCTATCCTGTTTTTGATTGATAGGAATATAATAAACAATTTGACATAGAGGGCAATCATCCCCAGATTTGCTCTGCCCAGGAACTGCAAGTCTTCCTACCACATGTGTTTATGCCCCCAAAGTCACACAAGCCACCAGATTAAGTCCATTTTTCTCAGACATGGGATTGATTTCAGGTCCCGAGTGAGTTGAGGGAACACACCGCAATAAGGTCTTGTTGTTTCCTGCATTTCTTAGCCATTCACAGATCAGGAAACAGTCACCGTTAGGTAGTCATTTACACACACAATTTGAAGTACTCATGTCTCAATGTTTATGCAGAGATGGCACAAAAAGTCAGACAGAAACTGTGGACATCTTTAGGTATTAATCTTGTCCCTTTTCTGAGTAAGGAAGTACTTATGACATCCAAAGAAGCTTTTGTTTGTTTGTTTTATGTCTCACTCAGAACATGATATAGCTCACCCTGAGATCTGAGCTCAGCAAAGGAGTGTTTGATTCATCTTTCTCTAACTCATTATAGAGTAAGACTCAAGGTACACTATGAAGCACTTCAATTATTAAATTGAACTGTACTTTCATGTTTGTTTGTTTTTCCCTGTGTATTTTACATCTGTGACTCTCAACAAATTTGTCTTTTTTGTCTCCATTATCTCCAGGTTGGTCAAATACACACACACACACACACACACACACACACACACAACCCAATAGCATTTAATAAATGCAAATAGAGATAGGACAGAGACCATGAAAATGAGACCGATTATTAATAAGGAATGATGCTGACTACAAATTGAAAGTGAAAGAAAACCAATGAGAGTGTCTGGGAGTAAACGAACCTCCTCAGATGAACAATGGGAGCTGGTATCTAGGAGTTCAAAGTCAGCAACTTAAAAGCCCTTTTTGTTCATGTGATTGGCTGCGTGTCTGTCTTAGTCTGTGACTCTGATGTTTCCCTGTTCTCAGGTCCACTGTGCAAAACCTCTTTTATCTTTGTAGGTCAATAACAACGGTGTTGTTTCCTTCAACGTGCTAGTGAGCCAGTTTACGCCAGAGTCCTTTCCCCTGACGGATGGGAGGGCCTTCATTGCTCCATTTTGGGCAGATGTGCACAATGGAATTCGGGGGGAGATCTATTACAGAGAGACCATGGACCCTGCCATCTTGAGAAGAGCCACCAAGGACATCAGGAAGTACTTCAAAGACATGACAACCTTCTCTGCTACTTGGGTTTTCATTGTGACCTGGGAGGAAGTCACCTTTTATGGAGGCAGCAGTACCACTCCTGTAATCATTCAACTTTTCCATTTAACCGCTCGTCTCTGACATCTAATTCTTGTCCATCCTCACTACCGAGCAGGAGTCTAATTGGTAGAGCTGGGAAATGTCAGCTCGCTTGAGTTAAACTAATAGGCCTTGCCACCCACTTTCCCAGAAACAGAGGGAAATATGAGCGTGAACCAGTCCAGTCAGCTGAGATACTTCAGATGTGTCAGCCCAATCACAATTCATTACCAATGTCTTACAGGGTCCCTTGACAATACTCTTGCAGTAGGCAGTGTTCTATTTTGTGAGAGAGTGACCAAGACACAGAGACTTGTTCCAGGTCATGTGATTAGGGATCTTTTGAGGGACACAGAGGTGTTTTTTTTTTCTTGCCAGGGGCACAAATATTTCTCATCATCAATAATTTCCTTTTTTCCCCCCTCCATAAACTCTGATAGCAAGAGAAAAGCAGGATGCTGGATTTGGGACCAAACGGCCTGGTTCATTTTATTATGTTATGACATTTTTTAATTGTGACCAGGCCTGAGATGATTCATATTTGATGCTAATTAGAGTGGGCAGTTAAAGCAATTCCTGAATAAAGTTTCAACATCTGCTCTGAGATTCCCAAATGAGTAGTCAAATAAAAGTCAAATAAAAAAGATTATCTCTGGTAATATCATAGAGACAATCAACTTTCTGCCTAAAGGGGCAAAACCCCAGTTTCCATGAACACACACAGCTTGTTTGGGTGACCATGGTAATGGAGATTTTTGAAGTTGCAAACGCATGCATCTTCAATGCAGTTCCCTAGTAAACAAAGACACTTAACAAAATTCTTTCCTCTTCTTTCTTAGGGTTATTTCTAATTCCATCTGTTTTCCTGGCAATGATTTGACTATTTAGGGGTGGAAGAGGAATTCCTGTGTAGCAGAGAGAGGTTCAAAAGTGCTGGTCTTGCAGTTCATAGCTAGGATGCAATGAGCGTGTGTTTTAGCATTGTCTGACGAGAGAAGCTCAAAGCACTTTATTGCTAAGAGGTCCTGCAGAACAGGAAGACACGAGTTTAAACAGCAGATGCATTGGCTAGAAATAACCTCTAAAGAAGTATGCATTTCCCTCTGTCATGGTATGGATCACTAACGACTCCTCAGGCGCTATTTTATGTCCTTTAAGCCTCATATCTTACAGCGCTAGAATGTAGGGTGCCAGCAATCGATAAATTTTAGTGTCAGTGCAGGGATAGGGGAGAGAAGAAATGCCGGTCAAATGCTGACCACCATTTTTTGCCCTACCAAAACCTCTACTGGCAGTAAAACTGGCAAGGCAATGTGGGCACTTTGTGCTCTGTAGTCTGGAGTGAGTTTCTAAAGCAAATAAGGCCGCTTTCTGTGAGGGTGAATGGTGAAATCTTGATGTGCCTTGAGCTCCGTGAGAGAAAAAATGATGATGGTTTCTGTAGAACAGCAAGGTGTCTATCATCCCTACCTTTGGAACAGACCCAGTTATCCACCCCCAAAACCGCCCATCACCCAGTCCACTAAGCACAGAGTTAGAGAGATCTTAAGAGAGGGAGGCCTGAGAGATCTTAAGTCAGGAAGGCCTGACTGAAGTATATGTTTAAGGAGAACCAGTGTTTACTGAAGTTTAACTACGTGCCAGTCCTGTAGTCTGCTATTTCTTAACCCCCATTTAAAAAGTTTCTGAAGTGCTATATTACAAGGGGACAATAATAGGGACTCCAGCCTCCTAAGAGACAGAGCAAAGGCTTCACACTGAACCCTATAGGCTGGCTCCTTAAATGCTTTCTTCAGGTGCTTCCTCGAGGTAGCTTTCTGAGAAGTTCTCTGAATTCTTGAAAAACAAGGTTGCAAGAAAACAGATTAGAAAGGTCTTAAAATGAGTATTTGGAAAATATGTCTGTAGAGAGGTGTGTGTGTGTGTGTGTGTGTGTGTGTGTGTGTGTGTGAGAGCAGTTGAGGGGTGAGTATGTATGAGCATGTGTGATATAGTCAGCCTTGGAGCGGTTGGTTGGTTTAGGGGTAAGAAGGGATGGCATGATTTGGGGCGGTACTCTCAAGACTTGCAAGCCAAAGGTATTTACATCATAAATAATTGATAGAAATTCACTTCTGAAGGGGAATCCTGGTATAAACAGGGTCCAGTTTCAGTCATTGCATAACTTTGCACCTATCCTTTGAATCTGGCCCAACTAATGATCTTGTAGAAACCTTGAGTTCATTGATCATTCATTTCTGTGTCCTACTTTCTTCTTTTGTTGAATGGACCCAAAGAATGATGGCATATACCAGCCAACTCTATCATAAACGCCAATCGGCTGTGGCAGGCACAGGGCTGGAGGAGAAGGCTCTCTTTTACAAAAAGGGCTTTTCTTTACAAGCAAGGTGTTCCTCCCTGGGACGGTCTAGAATGGGATTCCAAGATCCTCTACCCCAGTCTGATTACACAGGATAGGACTTTGGGCTTCCTCTGCTCACTCACTGAATGCTAACTGGGACGCTGTCAGGCAGATAGGAAAAGGGCTAGGCTTGAACAGAGAAAGGTCATAACTGGTACTCTAAATTCTATTTTGATTTGCATTACCTGAAAATGCATGTCCAAAGGTGGGGATTAGGAAAGGGAAATAGGAAAGGCCGAAGCTTGATTCAGTTTGGATTTATGCAACCCTGTCCTCTCAAAGCATGGAGTGACAGTGCTCAGAGGTTGGGTGCTCTGGCTGCAATCCCATGTTCCATGGCCCTGTCACTGCTCAATTTCCAGCAACTCATTTCACTTAGTCCTTAGTTGCTTAGCTCTAAATGGAATGAACCCAAACCATTGCCCATCTTAGCTTTGGTCTGAGTTACGATGAGCACTGAGGATTTTACAGATACAAAGTAATGCATAAATGCTCAATTAGTGGGACAGTTTCTTTCCAGATAGTGCTTCTTAAAAATCACTTCCCAACTTTCATTTTAAAAAGGGAAGACATCTCATTCAGACTAGCGATGTTTTCCAGGAACAGGGGGAGCCCACTCCAGAGGACCACTTAAATGCAGCTTTGGGTTCACTGTGTCCCTCCCCACCCTGCCCATTCTGCTGTGGGTGCAGGTATTTGTGCTGAGGTCCCTGGCTTGACTCTTTAATATAGTTTATTCTCATGCTGCCATCTATAGGTGATCTCGAGTCATAGCATGCTCAGGCAGGTCCTCTGAATCTTGTTTTGGTCCAAAAGAGAAGTGGAGGTGGGGTGGGGTAGAGCGGGGTGTTTGGGGGGTGGGGTGCACTGAGTCAGACTCCAGGTTTATCTCAGCCAATTTCTCATTTGGATGCACAGTCCTACACATCTTGCTTTCTTGCACTGGAGGCGAGAACAAGTGTCGAGGGAAGACAGAACATGAAGGCTGGCTGCAGTGCAGTCCGGAGCTGTTTGGGGGTAGAGTGGAGGGCAGGGGGGTATGTAGTGGTTGTGGGTGGGGGAGGGAAGCCACTACTGGGTGATGAGTTCCTGAGCTTGTTCTGCACTTTCTGCAGGTGAACACTTTCCAGGCCGTGCTGGTGTCTGATGGCTCGTACACATTCACACTCTTTAATTACTATGAAATCAACTGGACTACTGGGACAGCAAGTGGTGGTGACCCCCTGATAGGCCTTGGAGGTGTGATGGCACAGGTAAGAGGTTCCCCATATCATCCTCTTGTAGGTTTAAATCACTACATCCCTTGCTTGCTTTCCTCAGAATCATGGACAAAGTCCTGCCAATACCTTTGTTCTAGAAACATATCTGTTCTTATAGTTGCACTGAGGGGAGGGGCTAGCCTTGTCCATCTTAAATACCTTAATCTGGGTATGGGGTCTTCGAAGTAGGCAGGCCTTCCACACCTTGAATGGTGGCCCAGTGGAATCCAGAAAAAGTAACCTCTTGTTTTCAAGTGTGATGAATTCTTAAAGTACTTGACTCAGCTAGTTAATAGGGATGATGTGCACTCAAAACTCTCTCTCTCTCTCTCTCTCTCTCTCTCTCTCTCTCTCTCTTGCTCTAGGCGGGATTTAATGGTGGAAACCTCACGAATTTCTTCAGCCTTCCAGGGTCAAGAACTCCTGAGATTGTAAATATCCAAGAGACCACGAATGTCAATGTTCCAGGCCGCTGGGCATTTAAAGTTGATGGAAAGGAAATTGACCCGGCCAATGGCTGCACCTCCAGGGGTAAACCTCTCCTCTTTTTTTTTCTGACAGAGCAGGGTTCGTTTCCCTTAGATTGACAGGCAAGCTTTCCAGCCACGGGGGAGGACTCATTCCTGATGGCTTACTCTTTTGACATCTCTCAGCTGTGTGATGGAGATCAAGGTAATTTTAGCGTGCACACTCATCACCCCGGGAGCAACGCTGCATGTGGTACACTTCCGAGCCCTTGCCTGTGGTGTGCATGCTGCTGCTAGTTTGGAGTGTCTCCAAAGTGAGCCAGGATCTTAAGTGATTTCTCAGCCAGATGGACAGAAGGGAGCCCTCCTGCCTCACGTTATTTTTGTTGTTGTTGTTGTTCCCCCTTTAAGATTCTGTCCTCATCTTTACTCTTGTTCTGCCATCTGCACTTTGTAGATCCACAGGAGTGGGTGAACTTGGAGTGTCGCCAAGCCCCAGTAATGGTAAATCAGTAGCTCCTCGTACCAGGGGAAAGAAAAAGTAGCAGGGTTTTTAGGGGAGCTTCTAAAATCCTCTCAGGGTAGAAAGACATTTCAGGGATTGGGGGAATCAAAGCCACTGTAGGTCTGTGTGAACTGGCTCCTCCTGTGAGTTCCCTTTACATTGGCCTCTGTAGTGGGGCACCCTTTCTCAACTACCAAAATCTTTTCAGATGTGCATAATAGCCCTGGAGTTCTCACAGGAGCATCCCCGTATATTGATTCCTGCCTCATATGTATTCAAAGCATCTAGGAAACAGGGCTTCTGTTAATATTTCTGCGTGTGGAAGTAGAGGCTACAGCAGCAAGAAGCAAGAAATGATCTGTTTATCAGATGCCCACTTAGTGACGCATCCATCTACATACCCTTCCATCACCCACCTCTCCATCCAACATCCCCTGCTCCACTCACCCCATCTCCATCTACCATCCTATCCATTCATTCCCCTAGCCACCCATCTTCCCATCCATGCATTATTCTTTTTATCGATCCATTTATTTACTTGCCTCCATTTGTTCACCGAGCCACTGAGCCACCTGTCCATCCATTTTTATCTTTCTAGAGAACAATGTGAGAGACCTATTGAATCCCAGCTACTTACTCTTCAGGTAGCAGAGATATCAGTATTATAGTTGTCCATGCTAATACTATAGCAAAAGAAATAGACATAGAAGCAATGGTGACATAATGCAGCACATATAATAAACAGGGTATTGTGAAAACACAAGAAGTGTTGGGCAAAATGATTGCAGACCCGTAAGAACCTTTTTCACTGGGATAAGGAGATCTCTCCTCCTTGGGTAGAAAGCATGGTAGATAGCTTGTTGCTAGACACCTTTCTTGACTCAGCTTCCATTTGCAATATATAGAAAAGCCAGTTTCATATGGTCTGAAGTTCCCATACCCTCTGAATCCACCCACTGATTTGCCTAACCTCTGACTTTGCCCTAAGGCAAGGCTATGTGTGATGATAGCTTGTCTGGGCATCTTAGCCTTGTGGACTGTGAAGTCCTTCATGCTGAAATAGTAAGTAAGTGCTACCCAGCTAAGTGAGCACTAAACTGGATAGGGAAGAATCTAGTCCCAAAGCCCCCCATGATTTCTGAGATTGTCCCTCTTCTCTTGTGGGAAGATCAACACAACACTACATCTGTGTGAGATACTTTTCCCCTTGCCATCTCAGTCTCAGATGCTCACCTTAACACATCTTCCCTTTTTGCTCAAGTGCTGAAGAGTTCACTGACTGTAGACTGCAACATGAGTTCTCAGTTGCAACCTCTTGCATGAGTCCTGGGAATGAACACTGTGATGATGGACAGTATTGGCTGGCAGAGCTGTGGGGACAGTCTGGTGCCAGCAGTGTGCAATGTTCCCACTCTCGCTGCTTTCTTCTCCTCTTGAGTTATGTGTTTGGGTTTCATATGCAGGGCAAATTCAATATCCACACAGGACTTGTGCATTTTTATGTGCCACTGGACATATATCAATCTAATGAGATCGGGATTTGGCCTGGGTTATAGCAAGGGACTCAGTTCCATAGAGCAGGCTTATTAAATCATCATTTCACAAACAAAATTATCATAGAGCATCTACCTTTTGGTCCAAACCTCTATTCAGAGGCATTCAGCTCTCATTTATTGGAAGCCTGGAAATGTAGAGACTGGAAATGATACTGAGTGAAGGCTGTTAAAAGATATGCAACCTTGAGCTAGTACCAAAGTACTGGAGGATTTAGGGCCTGTTTTAAGGGCTGATGCATGCAACCTACTGGGAATATGAATATGTCTATTATCTCATTTTAGGTACAAATCTCAACAGGTAGAAGGTATAATTGCCTATTGAGACATGTTCTTGTTGAACAGACATAGAAAGAGCTGTTCGTAAAGTCCCCCACCTTCTTTTGGGGTTAAGCTGGTAGGCTTGTACAACTTGCAATATATTCAGGAGTCTCTCTCTCTTTCTCTCTCTCTCTCTCTCTCTCTCTCTCTGTGTGTGTTTGTGTGTGTGTGTGTGTGTTTTTAAAGATTAAATGTCTGCCAAATAAATGGTAGTGAATATTTATTAAAAATTAGCACATGCCTTAAAGTCATTCCCCTGGCCCTCCTCCTGACCCCACTTGGTCAGCAGGTTCTCTCCTGATGATAAAGAGAAAGGAATACAAGATTTGGACAGGGCCTGGAGCTGGAGGGAAAACAACTTGCAAGGGTTGAAATTCAGCCTGAGTAGCACCTGTAGTATTTATGAACCTTTGAAAATGGCACAGAAGAAGTCAGTCTTTTCTAGAATATTCCCAGGAAGCTGGGATTTATGTCTGCCTCCTGATTTGTGGTGTTGACCTTTTGGGGCACATGCTGCCCAGACTGTTGATTAAATGAACAAATTAGGGAACAAACAAGCAATTGCTGAGTCCTGTAGCTATCAGCTGGCTCTGCTTCTGGAATGCCCTTGGTCGTACTCTTGAAAGAGAAATGGCTCCTTAGTGTCAGAGACTTTCCCACAGATGAAGGCCATGTGTCTTTGCCTGGATGTGAGCTTGCTCACCAGCTGGGGAGTTAACAATGCCAGCAGCTCACCCTGGATTCAGACCCACTCAGCTTGGAATCTTGGCTGAGTTGCTGGGTGATGTTGAATGTATTATTCAACTGCTTTTAAGCCTCAGTTTCCCCAATTATCAAATGAGGGTGACAGTCCATGATCTCTACTTAAATGGTTTTGTGAGTGGGATGAGAAGGCATGACCAAAGCAAAGCCTTTGTCCTAGTGCCTGGCACAGAGAGGAAGTAGTAAGTGTTGGATCTGCTGTCCTTATTCCCAGGACAGTTCCTTCGGCGAGGGGAGGTGTTTTGGGATGACCTGAACTGCACCATCAAGTGCCGCTGTCTGGATTTTAACAATGAGATCTACTGTCAGGAGGCCTCCTGTAGCCCCTACGAGGTGTGCGAACCCAAGGGCCGCTTCTTCTACTGCAGCCCTGTGGAGACCAGCACCTGCGTGGTGTTTGGGGAGCCACACTACCACACCTTTGATGGCTTCCTCTTCCACTTCCAAGGCTCTTGTGCTTACCTATTGGCCCGGCAGTGTCTACAAACTTCCAGCCTCCCCTTCTTCAGTGTGGAGGCCAAGAACGAGCACCGAGGGGGCTCTGCTGTCTCGTGGGTGAAGGAGCTCTCTGTTGAGGTCAATGGCTATAAGATTCTCATCCCTAAAGGAAGCTATGGAAAAGTCAAGGTAAGACCCTCTCCATACATCATGGGGAGATGGAGAATCCAGAGATGCCTGGGGAAAGCTGCCCTCTGTCTACTGTTTTGCTGTTTGTCTTTCTATAGTGCCAAACAGGTAGACACACTTCTTGCCTTGGATGATGCTTCAATAAGCCAAAGTTTATTGGTGTAAAACCCTCATAGTGAGACCATATCTTGAAAAAAAAAGCACATTCACAGCCCTAGTTCCCTAACTGTTGGACACATGTTTACACATTTACATGAATACACATACATACAGGTATATGTCTCTCAGAAATCACAGTAGCAGAAAGACAAGCTTAGTTCCTCATAGACTTGGCTTACAATAATTAAAGTCATATGTCATGCCCAAGCTACAGGGCAAGAACCGAGTGCTTACCCCTAATTCAGTATAGCCTTGGGGTCATCCGTAACCCACCTTAGCACCCTCATCCTGTTTGCCCAAGAACTATTGTTTGATTCACAGAGAAACTTCCACATTGATTGATGTCTCCACAGGCATCACCCTAGAGCGGCTTTAGTCACTTCCTTAATGAGTCTTGTATGAAAAGATCTCAGGAAAGCTTTACCCAAATGCCCCTCTGGAGAAACCCCCCACTTCAGCCCACACCAACAGAGAAGAACACAAATCTCTGCTGGCCTGTTTAGCATATGTAAATGACTCCTGTTACAGGAGCATTGACTAAAGAGGGAAAGCCAGAAGCTACTAGCAATTACTCAATTGGTGGAGGCCTCAATTTTCATAATGTTAATGAAGACCTTGTTGTAACCATGTATTTATTCAAGCAATCATAAGTTGGAGACCACAAGGGGTGGTTGCTGTATTCCATGCAGTTCTTAATCTTGGTGCATGGTTGTTAAATAGAGTACCGACCAGAACTAATAAACAATGTGTTGTAGTTTTAATTACTGTAGCATAGCCAACAAAAGGCAAAACCAGGGAACTAATTCCACTTTTTGTGGCTCTGCCATTCTCAGGTCTGTGCAGTTTGTCAGCTTTATAATTAGGAAAGTGAGCTATGAGCACGATTGAAATGCCAATTTGCCTGTGATTTGGTTAGCCTCTCTAGGGACAGGTTCATATATCAGTGAAGGATTCTGGTACAAAAGTTTGGGGTTTTTCCACTGTAAATTTATATGGTGCCATTGAGTGCCATCTTTACGCTTGTGGGTACATACATTTCCGGCTAATTTTTTTCACCAGCTTTCCCAACTTGCCTGTGTTGTCAAACTGGTGTGTCTGATACCAGTAGTTGAAAAGAAAGCGTCATGCTCCGTCCCTGCTTTCCATTTTGATTAAAATTCTTTTTTTGCTCGCACTCAGACTTTTTACTTCTTTTTTCTTTTTTAATGAAAGAAAGGATACTGTCATTTCTTTCAGGCCCAGCAGCTCTGCTAATTTTGCATGGCTCCGTTCCACCGTCCAGGCGTAGGGCATGGATTCCTCAATTTTCTGTAGCGACAGAGAGATGTGGATGTGAATATAAATGCTTCAGAAAGAAAAGGTTATGTGACTCCAACTGCAAGCTAACAACGGCGTCCTTTTCCTTTTGCCAAATGGTTTCCAGTGCCTCTGAATACACCTGCTACACTGGGCAGAGTAGCTAGATGGATGCAGGCCCCTGACCCAGGGTGATGTGGGGACAGCCAAGCAGAGGCTGGGGAAACAGAAAGGAGCCCAAGAGTCCTGAGAGGAAGCTGACTTCCTAGCTATGTTGTGCCAACCCTAGAATGGCCCAAGTTGCAAACTACAGGTCCTCTTTCTCCAACCTTATCTCCATTTGTTGGATTAGAAGCAGCATTCTTTTTTTTATAAGTTTTTTATTTGAATTAGAAAGATTATTTTACATGTCAATCCCAGTTCCCTCTCCCTCCCCTCCTCTCCTGCCCCTGGCCCCAACTAACACCCTACCTATCCCATACCCTTTCTTTTCCCCAGGGAGAGTGAGGCCTTCCATAGGGGGTCTTCAGAGTCTGTCATATCCTTTGTGATAGGGCCTAGGCC